GTAGGGGCCTTTAACACCCCACTTACATCAATGAAAGGCTCATCTAAAAAACAGAAACTCAACAAGAAAACAATGGCTTTGAGATACAATGGACCAGATGGATTTAACAGATATATTCAGAAAATTCCACCCTAAAATACAATACACATTCTATTCAAGTGTACAGGGAATATTCTCCAGAACCAATCACATATTAGACCACAAAACAAGCCTCAACAAATTCAAAAAGATCAAAGTCTACCATACATCTTTTCTGACTATACCATTATAAAACCAGAAGTCAACCACAAGAAAAAACCTGGAAAGACTACAAATACACAGAGGTTAAATAACGTGATACAATGAATAGATTAACCAGGAAATCAAAGAAATTTAAAAATACATGGAAACAAATAAAAATGAAATTATAATGTACAAAACCTTTAGGACACAGCAAAAGCATTTCTAAGAGGTAAGTTTAGAGCAATACAGGCCTACCTCAAGAAAAAAAACCTCAAATCCTTACAGCTAAAGGAAATAGAAAAAGAACAACAAACAAAACCTAAAACCAGAAAAAGGAAGAAAATAATAAGGATTAGAGCAAAAATAAATGATAGAGAAACTAATAAAATCACTAGAACAATCAATGAAGCGAGGAGTTAGCTCTTAAAAACAAAACAAAAGTCAATAAAACTGATAACCCCCCAGCCAGATTTACCAAGAAAGAAAGAGAAAGGACCCAAATAAAATCAAAATGAGAGAGAAGAAATAACAATAAACCCCACAAAAATACAATTACAAGAGAATATTAAGAAAAATTACATGCTGACAAAATGAACAACTCAGAAGTGGATAAATTCCTAGAAACATATAACTGACCAAAACTGAAGCAGGAAGAAATAGCAACAAAACTGAATCAATAATTAAAAAACTCCCAACAAACAAAAGTCCAAGACCAGATGGTTTCACAAGCAAATTCTGCCAAAATACTGAAAAAAGAGTTAGTATCTATTCTTCTCAAACTATTCCAAAAAAGGGAAAAGGAAGGAAAACTTCCAAATTCATTCTATAATGCCAGCATTTCCCTGACACCAAAATTAGACATCACAAAAAAAGAGAAAAGATCTCTGATGAACATAAATGCAAATATTCTCATCAAAATACCAGCAAATCAAACCCAACAACACATTAGTAAAATTATACACCACGACCAAGTGAGATTTATTCCTGGGCTGCAAATGTAGTTCAACATTCACAAATCAGTCAACATGACACATCGTATCAATAAGAAAGGATAAGAACCACATGATCATTTCAATAGACACTGAAAAAAAACATTTAACAAAGTATAACATCAATTCATGATAAAAATCCTCAACAAAACAGGTTTGGAAGGAACATACCTCAACAAAATAAAGGCCATTAATGAAAAACCATAGCTAATATAATTTTCATTGGAGACAAACTGAGAGCCTTTCCCCTAGGGTCAGGAACAAAACAAGGATCAAAACAAGGATTTCCCCTAGGGTCAGGAACAAAACTCAGCACCTTTATTCAACATAGTACTGGAAAACCTAGCCATAGCAATTGGACAACAAAAAGAAATAAAAGGCATTAAAAATCACCAAGGAAGAAGTCAAACTTTCACTCTTTGCGGATGACATGATACTACATAAAGAAAACCCAAAAGACTCCAACAAAAACCTGCAGGAACTGATTAACAAATTCAGAAGAGTGACAGGATACAATATCAACCTACATAAATCTGTTGCAGTTCTACACACCAATAATGAAGCAACAGAAAGAGAAATTAAGAGAACAATTCCATGTACAACTGCACCAAAATTAATAAGATACCTAGGAATAAACCAAGCCAGAGAATTCTGAAAACCATAAAACAATGATGAAAGAAATTAAGGATGATATAAAGAAATGGAAGGACATTCCATGCTCATGAATTGGAAGAACAAACATTGTTATTTTTTTTTATTTTTTATAAACACATAATGTATTATTAGCTCCTGGGGTACAGGTCTGTGAATCTCCAGGTTTACACACTTCACAGCACTCACCATATCACATACCCTCCCCAATGTTCATAACCCCACCACCCTCTCCCTACCCTCCTTCCCCCGGCCACCCTCAGTTTGTTTTGTGACATTAAGAGTCTCTTATGGTTTGTCTCCCTCCAGATCCCATCTTGGAAGAACAAACATTGTTAAAATATCGATACTACCCAAAGCAATCTACACATTTAAAGCGATCCCTATCAAAATACCACCAGTACTTTTCACAGAGCTAAAACAATCAATCCAAAAATTTTTATGGAACCATAAAAGACCCTGAATAGGCAAACTTATCTTGAAAGAGGAAAGCAAAGCTGAATGCATCACAATTCCAGACTTCATGTTATATTACAAAGGTGTAGTAATCAAAGCGGTATGGTACTGGCACGAAAACAGATGCAGACATAAATAGGACAGGATAGAAAATCCTGAAAGAAATCCACAATTATGTGGTCAATTAATCTTTAACAAACCAGGAAAGAATATCCAACAGGAAAAAGACAGTCTCTTCAACAAATGGTGTTGGGAAAACTGGACCACTTTCTTATACCATACACAAAAAATAAACTTAAAATGGATTAAAGACCTAAATGTGAGACAGGAAACCATAAACACCCTAGAAAAGAGCATATGACACTGGTCATAACAACTTTTTTCTAGTTAGGTTCCCTAAGGCAAGGAAAACAAAAGCGAACTATTGGGACTCCATCAAAATAAAAAACTTCTGCACAGCAAAGGAAACCATCAACACAACTAAAAGGCAACTTATGGAATGGGAGAAGATATTCTGCAAATAGCATATCCAATAAAGGGTTAGTATTCAAATTACATAAAGAACTTATAAAACTTGGCACCCCAAAACCAAATAATCCAATTTAAAAAAATGAACAGACATTTCTCCAAAGAAAACATAGAGATCACCAGAAGACACATGAAAAAATCCTCTATATCATTCATCATCAGGGAAATGCAAATCAAAACTATAATGAAATAGCACCTTACATCTGTCAGAACAGCTAAAATCAAAAACACAAGTAACAAGTGTTGATGAGGATGTGGGGAAAAAAAGGAATCATCTTGCACCATTGGTAGGAACGCAAACTGGTGTATCCACTGTGGAAAACAGTATGGAGGTTTCTCAAAAAGTTAAAAATAGAACTACTCTATGATACAGCAATTGCACTAGTGGATATTTACCCAAAGAATACAAAAACATCAATGCAAAGAATATAGGCACCTCTATGTTTACAGAGGGATTATTCACAATAGCCAAGATATGGAAGCAGCCCAAGGGTCCACTGATTGATGAATGGGTAAAGAAGATGTGGTATGTATGTATGTGGATATTTACACAAACATATAAATATACATAAAAACATACACATATATACAAATATATAGTGAAATATTATTCAGCCATAAAAAAGAAAGAAATTTGCCATTTGCAATGGCATGGATGGAGTTACAGAGTATAATGCTAAGTGAAATAAGTCAGTCAGAGTAAGACAAATGCCACATGATTTCACTCATATATGGAATTTAAGAAACAAAACAAACAAGCAAAGGGAAAAAGAGAGAGAAACCAAGAAACAGACTCAAATATAGAGAACAAATTGATGGTCACCAGAGGGGAGATGGGTAGGGAGATGAGTGTAACAGGTGATGGGGATTAAGGTGTGCACTTATCATGTTGAGCACCAGGTGATTAAAATAAAAACTTAAAAGAAATGTATATATTTTTCCCTATCCTTCAAAGAATAATGTAAAAGAGGTATTCAACATGTGTTATTTCAAAGAATTGTATAGAAATATAAAAACTAGACTTTTAAGTTCTCATACTGAAAGATCACTGGCAGTATCTTATGTAGAAACTTAGAATTTCACTTACCCATGAAATGATAAATTTGTGAAACAAAGTTGAATTAAAGGCATCAATCTAAAACATTCCTTTTTCCCATTTCTACATTATATAGGTCTTTTAAACCCTCTCCTCAGTTCCAACACTCCCACCATGATTGCCAAATCCTTCTCTGCAATTACTTTATTATGTTTCTTTCTTACAATTCTATTATACCATCACTACCTCATCACCACCATCACAACAGTAGCAGCTACTTTTTAAGTGCTATATGCCAGGCACTGCTAAGAGAGCTTTACGTGAATTAAGTCATTTAATCCTTGAAACACCTTCTGAGAAAAGAAATATTATCCTTAACTATATACATGAGAAAATGAAGCACAGAGAGGCTAAGACAGTAAGTGGTAGCATTGGTATTTGAATCCAAACAGTGTTAACCTTCTTTTAGAGTTGTCTCTCAGAAATCACCTCACACCTCCAAAATTCTGCTTCCTGGTTAAAGGATATCACTTCTCTCCTTTTGGAAATTCATTCAACATGATGAAACTAGATAATCGCTGTCATTAGAACATTACCCTGTTCAATAATCTACTTTACCTAAAAATTAGTTATAAAAATCAGACCAAATGAATCCAGGTATTCAAGATCTTTCTCAGTCTATATACCTATCCTCCCTTTCTGACCTCATTCCCCATTCAGCCCACCACATGAACACTCAGTATGAGGTATTTAGAGCTATATTCTTATCCTCTCACAGGGCCTAATATAATACCTGGAACATAACAGGTGCCAAAAGTGTTTGCTAGATTAAGGACTAAAAGGCTTTCTGATTTTTCAGATACCTAGCTGTAGGTTACTGTAATGCTAAGGTTCATAGTATTCACAAAGACATTTTGTTATTCCTTCTTAATAAGACAGTGTTAATTGTTTTAAAAATTCAAAAATTCACCCATGAAAAAATAAGGCAATTCAGAACACTTAAATCGTAGTTTTTTCCTATTTTGTTTAGCAAAAGAGGAACAAGTGGCAGTTATAGCTAACAATGTGATTAAAGAAATAGAAGTATTATTGATATTACCAAGAATTTTATTACTAACCTGTTGAGGGGTTATGGTATCTCTATAACTTGGTAAAATTTTTAGGGTGACACTTCCACTAATATTTTTCAATAATTCTTGTAATTCCTTTGGATTGTTTCCAACTTCATGACCATTGACTTCTTTAATGATATCTCCCACATGAAGTAGACCTTGTCGATCTATCATTCCTCCGTGAAGGATTCGGGCGATTACCAGATCATTATTTTCAACCCTAAACGTTACACCCTAAAGGAAATAACAGAATTATCAATGATTTTAGATTATTAGGAAGAAATCTTAAATATTCATTAATATGAATATGTAAGAAAATAATTCTAAAAGTAGGTGAGTTAATTGTTCCTACTTTCCCCCTGTTCTCTCCCGTCTCTCAATATTTTAATCTCATTAAACAATAGGCAACTGTGATGACACATATGACCTTATAAAAACAGGACTTTCAGGGAATTGCATTCCACAGGATAAAAAGCTCAAAGGAGGAGAAAAAGTATTTATGCATTCTGATGACCTTGTTCTAAGCTTATCATTTTTTCTGATAGTCAGGACCGAAAAATAATAATTTTTGCATGGAATAGAAAACTTCACTACTTACAGACTCCTACCATGCCTTCAATTTTTAATAACTTTCTTTTGTGTTTTGATACTAAGATTAGCAAGCAACTTGAGTTCATTTCTTCAAAGGATATAGGAAGAAATGGGGTAGTTATGTCTTATAATTTTTGCTGCCCATTAGCCAGCTTCTTCAGGCCTCTATTTCAGCTAAACTTTTTATTTTGGCTTAATTTTATATGCTATATTAAGATGAGAGAGCATCAGTTGTGTATTTCTATACAAGCCAAAAAGCACTGATAAAACAAATAAACATGAAGTTTTTATAATAATACAAATTATGAAAAAGAAAAAGATATGATTGAGCCACAAATATGTCAGATTTCAGATTTTAAAAGGCACGGACTTATCTACTCACCAATGGCTCCCCAGCTCTTTTGTGAATACCAAGAATACGAATGGCATCTACCGGTAATAACTGATTATTGATAGAAGAATTATTCATTTCTGGGCTTGACGGAGGTGAATCATAACATTTTGATGCCACAATATCATGGGCCTCCAAGAGTGACTGTAAGGATTCAAAAAAGCCTGTGGTTATTAATTACTGATGGAATAAGTTCTTAAAAATAACAGTCCGTTATTCCAGTGGAGTACTAACACCTTCCAAGGCACACATTATTAAATTCTTAAAAGATGAGGTAAACCAAATGCACCAGAATCTTTTAAAGAAATATAAATATATATAGTACATTAACATAAACAATATTGTATTTCTTGTTTTAAAAGATTTGAAGACTCCTGATAGAGTTTTATGACTTCTTAAAAAAAGTGACAAGTTCAGTGGAAACTGAACCTAGATTTCCAAGTGTGGTACACTGAAGGCACTGGAATTCACTGCCCCCGTTGTCATCAACATTATCATATTTCCTATTTACCACCAATCCCTATTTATTAGGTATCATACAAATTCAAATGGTACAGGGGCATCTGGACAACTCAGTCGGTTAAGCGTCTGCCTTCTGCTTAGGGCATGATTTCAGGGTCCTGGGATAGAGCCCTGCATCAGGGCTGCTCAGCAGGGAGCCTGCTTCTCCCATTCCTTCTGCCTGCTATTGTGCCTACTGGTGCTCTCTTGCTCTCCCTTTCAGATAAATAAATACTATCTTTAAAACAAACAAACAAAAAACCAAATTTAAATGTCACAGACCCTAATTTTTACTCTAAGATTTTTATGTTAGTAATACCATATATTTTTTACACATACAAAAGTCTGCTAAAAAGATATCCAACAGAAAAATGGATACAGCATCTTATATCTTCTATCAGTGATGAGAGATTTTATATTATTGACAAAGGCTTTAGTTTATAAAACATCTATTTTAAGAGGAAAAAAAACCCTAATGAGCTAGTAATGGTCCTGAATATAATTTTACATCCTACATTTATGATGTATGTGTTACCATCATGGATGACTTTGATCTACTTTCTAGGAATTTCTTATAATTTTTAAATATATTTATTTTAATTTTTCACTTACACTATAATTGTATATGTTCAACAATAAACAATAAACAATAAAATTAAAAAAAAAATTTTGAGTGGATGGAGCTCAAAAACAAATCAAAATAGAAAGAAGGGAGAAAATGTCAACAAATTAGAACAGAAGCAATCAGGATATGTGTAATTTCTGGTCATTTCATGAAAATATGTTGTAAGAGACTAAAGAAAATTTCAAAAAGAAAAAAAATCACAAGTCCACATGTAAGGATTATTCCTATAAATTCTAGACGTTGCTCAAATCTCTAACCTGGGCTGCTTAGCTTCCACTCTATGCCTTCTTAGCCAGAATTATACTCCTGTGACTTGAACCACTACTTAGATGCTGATAACTTCCAGCATCTCTCATGAGATGAGAGTTCTCATCCAGAACTCTCATGAGCTTCAGATTCATAGACTAAAAATCTGTCTATAACCATTCAGTCATGAAAATTTGAAAATCAAAGAGTAAACATGGTAGAGGATTGAAACATACTAAATTAATGAAAAATCTGTAACTGCACATACTATTTAAAAAACAGAAGGACTGAAAAACTCATCTGTTGCCATTTAAGACTGCTATTTTAAACAATTCTTTACTTTAAAAACTGGTAAAGGGAAGGGTCAGACACTTCCCTGATTTTTCAGTATGAAATGTATTATGGGGTAACTAAATAGTCAGTTGATGAAGAAAAGCTCTACTTTATATAAGAACAGCAGCTACAAAATGTAGAATGAGAGAACCTGGAAAATGTCATTTTGAAGCCTCTAAAGAAAATACTGATTCAGGGAAGGATTAATTTGTGTTTATAAGTAGATAAATGATTAAACAGGAAATAGCATTTGTATGCTAGAATAATAACACACTAGATTATGTCCTAGTCAAAAGTATTTCAAAGGAGGGATTAGATTGTCTATGCCCTTATTCAAGGGACTAATCTCAGCAACGATACTGGTGGGCTAACCAGGTGTCACATATCTTCTGATGTACTTTAATTCATATTAACATTACATCACTAATGATGAATTCTAGCTCCAAATAGTTAACTTGAATCATCCTTTTAGATAGAACTTCTGTTCACAGGAAATAGAGGGGGTAACTCTCTATTATCTATTATCTAACAACAAAGCGAAGAGACAACCAGATTATCCAGGAAGTGGGACATTCTTTAGGGCAATGGTCCGGTCTCTTAATAGGTCAATATCATAATCAAGGGAGAAAGGATGGTCCATCCAAATGCCACACACGAATCTAGGTTGGAAACCCATAGTACAAAACAGCTATAAAGAATATTTTGGTGTGAAATGGAGATGTTTGAATATAGTATGTGTATTACAGGAGACTGAGATCCACTGAAATGGCCAAGTGGAAATCAATGACTGAAAAAAAAGGGTAAGTTAAAAAATAGCTTGTACAAAAGGATCTCAATCAGTAAAGAAAAAAATATGTACATTTATGCATAGAAAAAGTATAGAGGAATATGTACTAGGATAGTACAGTAGATCTGGGTAATAAGAATGCAATATCTTAATTTTTAAATTTTTGCTTTCCAGTATTTTCTAATTATATTTATGAAACTTTATATAAATTTATATACTTATTAAATTTCATATATTTATTAAAGATACACAGCATATCTGAAAGCTCTCTCAGATGCTTCTAAAGTATCACAAACTTAACAAGGCTGGTTACCTGAACATTAACATGTCAATTTCTTCTAGAGTGTTCCTTATCTCAGTGAGTGCCATCAATTATTTGTTAGAAACCCTACCCTTATCAACTTCCCACATCTCTCTTCTGCAATGATCACACATAACCAATCACCAAGTCCTGTTGATTTTACTGCTTAAAACTTGAAAATCTTCACATTTTCTACTCTCAACACTGCTGTCAGTTTCTTGCCCTAGTGCTTAACCATGATGCTCCACAATCAGCCCCCTCTCCCCGTGTAATACCTCCTACTCTCCCCTTTCTTGGTTTCCCACTGTCCTCAGGGTAAAGTTCAAATGGCTTACTGTGCCCTATAAGGCCTTCATCAACTGGCACAAGCATATAGGATGTCTCTGATACATGTCCATTATTTTGTATGTTGAGATACTGACTCATGGAGCAACAAACTCACTATAAACCTTTGTATTTTACAGTCACGTTGTTGAAGAGTCACAGAAAGTCCTTGGAAAAAACCAAAGAGGTGTTGCCATTTTGATTTTCAATGCTAAGATTTATAGTGAAAAGAACTTTATATTCTTCTATCCCAGCATCACTTACAGAACAGTCCATTCTTTCTCCCCTAAAATGTAGTATCTCTATCATAAATCAAATTGTCATATACAGGTGTATGTACTTCTGGGGTTTTTTATTCTTTTCCATTGGTCTATTTTTCTAATACTGTCCCAACACCACACTTAAACACAGGTTAATAAGAAATCTCTCCCCCACTCCCCTCCACTTTCTCTTCTAAAACTGACTCTTTGTTAAACAGATTTGCTTTTCACTGCTACAGACCAAAGCTTAAATTGCACTTATTTTTTCTTTGCAGCTATGGAGGAAATGTTATGGATTAGTTTCTATCCTCACACAGTTCTCTTTTGTTTTATTCCAAGGTCATTGATTGCATCTCAGTCTCAGAAGCAATACTGCAATAGCTTTCATAAGAAAGGCTGTGAAACAGTGGTAGTGAGGAAGGAAAACCTATTATCACAGTAAGAAAAATGTCTCCAGCACGTGGTCTGGTGGTGAATCAAGGCTGATTTTAATTACACAATGGAAAATCCATTCTGATGTATTTCTGCTATACATTTATGTAATGTGTTATTAGTTGCGGGTGTGTCTGATTTGATATCCTCAGTATTTCAGGATATTAAAATACTTAAGTTGGAATTTACATATTTACAAACGATGGCTCTAAATAATCTTAAAGAAATCACCATAAACTGGAATTTAACTACTAAAAGAGAATACTTTGAGGATAAAGGGCACTTGGGAAAAAGAATACGCAAAATACCTGGAAGTGAGGCTCTTTGAGGATTCCAACCAGCTCTGCCACATTTTCATCCACATTTATTAAGGGACTGATATCTTCAAGAATTTCATTGACTAATTCTAAGTTATTATCACTGACAGCTTCTAGTTTTGAGTCTTCTAGCCTCTCATGAGCCTGAAAAGAGAACAGTATAAAGTCATAGCACATATTGTTTTGCTCCAGACCATGGTTTTCTTCTTTTCATAAAGAAGACTTAAAAAGATACTACTTGAAAGTTTGATTTATTGAAACCAAATGTAATATTCTAATCAGAGGCAATATATAGATTTTGTAGTAAATGTTATCAAGAAATATAATAAATCTTGGCTTGTGTCCCTATTCTGAAAGTCATGGAAAACTTGTTTTAATAACTTAACCATGAAAAACTATAGTCAGATAACAACTGAAAAGAAAAAAAACATTTCCTACCCAATAGAGTTTCCTAATGACTTTCTGGTCTAGGCTCAAATTCTAGAGGATACTGCTTGTGATTCATGAACATAAATGATTATTTATTATTTAATAAAAATTTTTTAAAAAAGGAATGTAATTATTACATGGACTGCCATTAAAAAATAATAAAAATCATTTGGGGAGCTCCAAATCCAAAAACTACCATTTTCCAATTTTTGAAAATCAGAAAAATAAGTCAATTTAGGGAAGTCAGCTCTTGAACTGGACTTTGAAGGACTGTTTGATTTCATTAGGGGAGACACCTTGTGTCTCTTTATCTTAAGCCACTTTTTTTTTCTTAATCTCACCATCTTTTCCATGGAAAATGGACCATGAATCACACTGTTACAGGAAACAAGTAGCCCTATTTAGCCTCAAATAGTGGGAATAAAACAGTTTTAAATTCAAACTGAAAATGAACATTAAGCAGTCTCCCTCTTTAAGTGCTCTTTGTTTTTCTGATGAATGGTTGCTGTCCGATTTTGAAGGCAGGCAAAGCATAACTGTTAAGACTTAATGTATAAATGAAACTATGTAAGATGACAAATCTTGTATTTAGTATTTTAAGATCCATGTCAGTAAGTGCTCAGGAAAAACCCAAGTTTCAAGTAGTAACAGTATCAATTAAACTTTATCTGTACCTATAATACTTTAGCTGTTATATCTACCATAGAGTGGATCCTTCAAAGACAAACACATGATTTTTAAAATGCAATTTTTTTCACTTAAGTATTTTTTTCTAGGTGACTCACCAGACTGAAATAAGTGTTTAAGTGAAAGAGGGGGCTATATATTAAGCAACATTTTTAAGAAACGCCTCAGGAAAAAAAAAATTATAAGTCATATGAGATGACAGAAGAAATTATAACTGTTATTAAACAAAGAAAAATGTCAAAAGACCAAATGTAATTTTGAGAAAGGAGTTATTATTAGATTTAGATAAGAAAAAAATTAAGATTAGAAAATGCCATGAAGAATGAAATGGGTAAATCTGTAACTTTCTGAAAGTTTAATGTAAGCCTAATAAGGATAAAATAATGACACTCAACATATACCATAAAATGATTATCACCATTGGAAAAAAAACTAAAATAATGGACATAACTAGCTATTAACTCTTATAAAACAAACTAGAATTGCTTATTGCTTTAATACAAATATTTGCTGTTAACAAATATTTAATTTAGCTTCGTTAACCTTGCAACACTCTATTACTCTTATGGAAGTAGAATAAAGTTTAAGGAAAGAAAGGAAATAAAGAAGCTGAACATTTATTGAGGGCTGTTTGTGTATGTGTCAGGAACTATATTCTCAGTGCAGTGTGAGTGTGTATTAAGCAAAGGTAGGTGTATTGTTGTTATCCTCACCTTGCAAACATAGATGCTGATGCAAAATAAGATAAAGTGATTTGCTTGAATCTACACTACTGCTAAGTGCAGAGTCGGGTAGTCTAATACCAAGGCTTGAATGCTTACCTACTAAGCTTTTTTGACTTCATCACTATACAGACAGCCACTGAAATATCATACTGTGGTTAATTATTCCATCTGTTATATATTATTCTAATTCATTTAACTCTGAGATATACTCTCATTGACTGCTAGTTGATTTGTTGCTTCTTAGCACTTTCTTCTAGTTCAGATGTGTCATTCTGTTCTACTGAGTCTATCCCTACAGTTACTTTGTACTCCTGTGGTTCAGAATACTACCCCCGTCCCTTCAACCTGCACCCCTGTACTCCAAGTAAGAGCTATAAAGACCACCTGTTTCTCTAGGAAAGAGATAAGGAGTACCTTACAATTTTCAGGTACTGTATCAATATATTTTCTATAACATCCTCTGGTCATGTAATATATCGATTCAATTCAGACAAGTAAAGAGCAAAAATGATCACTGATCTGAGAACTCTAATATAGCTCCCTTTGTTCCTATGTTCATTTACCTTACTGCTCCCAAATTGGGTGAGGACATGTGGGAAGGTGGAAAGACCTACCAGAAAGAGGATGTCAAGCAGGAGGGCAAAATTATGTTATAAAAACAAACACACCCAAAGTTTTTTTCATACCAAACTACAGAGACTGGTGCTATAGTAGGAAAGAATCTCACTATACAATAAGAAGTTCTCAGGGAAAAAATAAAAGGCTTTTTAGTGAAACTGCAGCTATAATTATATAACACAGAAAGCTAATTTCTAAAATATAGTTGGGTTCTATCAAGATCAACTTTAATTTTTCCAAAAAAGCAAAAGCAGGGTCCATATTTGTTAATATGTAGATTTTTAAGCTCGAAGATACTGTGAAAGATGTTGGGACCTCTAGTCACTTTAAAGTCATAATTTATTTAGTAGATTTTAAGAGGCAAGTGCCAACTTGAATTTAACAGATAAGACCCCACAGCAAAAAAGAAAAAAAAGGACAAAAGGAAATAGTGAAAATTATCCAGAAGGAGAGATGAATCATAAGCTATTTGAATGAATGGGTCTAGCATCCTTTAAGACACTATGAGAAAGCTAGCATAACTTAATAAAAACATATTCCACCTGCCACAAGTGGTTGAAAGAACATGCTATGACTGGCTTCATAGAACACTTGGAGTTGATACAAATACGGCCTAGTCTTCTTGTATGTCCAGATCAGAGAGTCCTATTTGCCACTGCACCTTAGAAAAATGAACTGCAGAGAAGAAAAAGTTCTTTCAGGACTTCTAGGTATTTCTTCTAAGCACAGTACAGCCAGGCTTGCAAGCAAAAAAAAAAAAAAAAAAAAAAAAAAATTTTAAAAAATTGTTGGGTGTTTTTAAAAAAAAAAAAAAAGCCAGTTTTTTAAAAAAAAAAAAAAAAAAAAAAAAAAAAAATTTTAACAAGTTGTGGGCTGTAACTAAAGTGAAAAATACTATCATTTATTTTGTTATATCTAATACTATTATCATTATGTGTAAAACCTTGCCTTTTGTCTTCAAAAGGACAAAAATATAAATTTTGTTTCTATCTTTGAATACGGCTAAGTATGTGGTAGTTGCCCATTAAATGTTTCTTGGAAAAGACAAGTAAATGGGAAGTAAGTTTTGCTGTGGTCAGAGTCATCCCCTTCTATTCTAAAGAGTTTAGGAAGAGAAAGATCAAGAGAAGCCCACGAACAGTCAAAAATAAATAACTTGAGCAGAAAATAGAAATGAGACAGGGAATAGAAAAGTCAATTTCTATTTTGCTTCTGCATCCATTATATCAAAGAGAATGAGATTTGTTCTGAATAAAAAAGTGGATGAAGGGGCACCTGGGTGGCTCAGTGGGTTAAAGCCTCTGCATTCACTCGGGTCATGATCCCAGGGACCTGGGATCAAGCCCCACATCAGGCTCTCTGCTCAGCAGGGAGCCTGCTTCCTCCTCTCTCTGCCTGCTTCTCTGCCTACTTGTGATCTCTATCTGTCAAATAAATAAAATCTTTAAAAAAAAATGGATGAAATAAGTATAAATAAATTAGAATTGAATTCTCTAATAAGTAAAGAACTTGCCAGAAATCTAGTTAACAAAAGGAGTTCAAATTCTTAGATTAGATAAATTATATATTGAAGTACTCAGGAAGCTCCTAAATAACATTGCCGAGCCACTCTTAGAGTTATCTGTGGAAAAAGAGAACCACACAGATGCCAAAAAAACTAGAAATGGGAATCTGTTATACTTTTTAAAATGAAAAAGACCTTTTTTCTTTTTTTTAAAAGCTTGGCTTTAACAGTATTCAGAAAAAATATAAAAGAATACTTTTTATAATCTCTGAGTGAGAAAGACCTTTCTAACTTATGCTGCAAAATCTGGAAGCTATAAACTAAACAAAAAAGGCCCAATAAAATTAACTACATTTAAAAATTTAATTTCTTCTTGTCAATAATCAGCAAAGTCAAAATACAAATGACAAACCAGGGTTAAAATATTTACAAATCATATTATAGACCAAAGGCTAATTTTCTTATACATAAAGGAAGTTTGAGAGAGAGAGAGAGAGAGAGAAAGCATGAGCACCAGCAGGGATAGGAAGAGGGACAAGCACACTCCCGGGTAAGTGGGGAGCCCAACTTGACCCCAGGATCCTGAGATCATGACCTGAGCGAAGTCTGAGGCTTAACCCACTGAACCACCGAGACACCCCTATAGAAAGGACTTCTATAAACCAGTAAGAAAAAGATCAACACATAAATAGGCAAATAATATGAACAAGAAATATACAGAAAAGGAAATTCAAATACCTCTTAAACATATGAAAAGATATACAACCACCTTCATGGTAAGAAGTACAAACTAAATATATAGTACTATATATATATATTTTAATTAGATAGGCAAGGATAAAAATTCTGGTAATGTACAATGTTGGTGAAAATACAGTAAAAGACAGACATTCTCATTCATTTTTTTTTTCCTGGTGGGAACATACTAGTGAGCAAAGTACACATTCATCTGAAGTGCACATGGAACATTTACCAAGACAGACCACTGTATAGGCTATAAAACATATCTTAAAAATTTTGTAAGAATAAAAATCATATTAAGTATGCTCTCAGAATACAATGGAATCAAATCAAAACTCAATAATAGAAAAACAGCTAGAAAACCACAAAACACTTCGAGATAAAGCAACACTGTTTTTTGTTTTGTTTTGTTTTTTAGGATTTATTCACGAGAGAGAGCG